TCTGGTGACTACCTTCTCATCAGGGACTAATTCAGCCCAAAAGCCCAGTGCCTCCATTTCCCCAGTGGAGGTATCAACATGTTCCATCCAAAAATGCCTGGAAACTGAGAACAAAGCAATGCAGGTTTGGAGACCAGCAAGGCTACAGGGGTCTCCAGAACATCTCACTTGTGGGAAGGAAGAAAAGAAAGCACATGGGAAGAGAAAGCAGAAATAGCCTGGCAGGCTTGGGGGTCAGCATGGAAGAGAGAGCAAGGATTAAGGGGAAGTTGAGGAAAAAGAGAAGTCAACCTCTGCACACAGTGATGGCAGCATGATACATTCTCACACATAATCCCATTTCCCTGTCCCCTCGTTAAGCTGACACCAGGCTCCTCCTGGGCACAGGTGGGCACAGACTCCCACAGAGCCAGCCTGTGAATCACCAAACCTCCACCCTCTCCTCTCATTTGTGTCAGAGTGTGCCATGGACTGGAAATGTGTGACTCGTTGCTGCTCTGAGTCTTCTTTGCCCCCAATCCAAGCTAGGTCCTGGGGACGACCTGGGGTCCCCACTGCTGGAGTTTCAGTATTCCAACGTTGGCATCCAGAGACTGTGCCATGCAGCCAGGCCAGAGCCGCAGCTCAGCAGAAGGCTAAAGTAGATCCCAAAGTCCAGAACCAAACCCATCCTGTGACACTTACAAGGTCTGGCAGGAGGGCACAAAGGTGCCCTCAGGGCAACGTGACACCCAGAGTCACTGAGTGAGTCATCTCTGCACCCGAGGAAGGTGGCAGCCAGTTGCAAGACAGCCTGGACACCTGAAAGCTGCAGGGTCCTGATCCAGCCTGGAGGGGAAGACAAGGAAAAAACACACACCAGTGGGCCTTGGTGTTCCAGTGGGTCCCAGGACCATCATCTTCCTCATCCTTTCTAAGACCTGACTCTGGGAGCAGAGCTGAGCAAAGCCTCATGCCCACCTTCCTCTCTCTGAAACAGCCAGCTCTGGCCCTGGGCAGCCCCTTCCCCTGGGAGGAGAGACAGGCAGAGACTGGGAGACAAGAGTCAAGGACAAAGACACCAGAGATGGGGAGGTAGGGGAAGGGGGAAGAAGGGGGAGGAGAAGGATGAGAAGAGGAAGTGGAGACTGCACAGGCCATGGTGAAGGATCAGACAAGGCAGGTGGTCAAGACAGGACAGGTGAGGCCAAGGGCAAGGTGAGTCAGCACCAAATGGCAGGTGGGGGCTGGAGGACTGCACAGGGGAGGCCCTTCTGCCCTTTAAGAAAAGGAGAAGCCACATGGTGAAGGAAGTTGTGGGCCACAAGGAGGTGGGGATGGGAGAGTGAACATCCTCCCTCAGCCCTGGGGAGAAGCAGTCTGACCCAGAATCCCCACGTGACACTCACCCCACTTGTGCAAGCCCCCAGGCTCTGTCAGGGCCTCCTCTCCGGCTGTGGCACTCAGCAGGCCTCCTCCCCAGAGGAGACCAGCCATGAGGTGGGTCCTGGTGGCACTGCTGCTACTGCCTGCAGGAGTCCTGACAGCTGGTGAGTGGCCACAACCATCAAGCCACAGGGAGCCTGGGGGCTGGGCATGTGCAGAGAGCTGTGTGGGAGGAGGTGGCCAGGACCAACCCTTCAGCCACTTTCCTCTCCCAAGCCTGGAGAGTGTCAACGCTGCCATCTGTCCCACCAAACCCTGGGAATGCAGGTGCAAGGAATATCTAGGGTTAGCGTCTACCTCCCCTCTGGCAGGGCCTTGCTTCACATTCCTTCCCCTTCCTCACAGACGGAAACTATGGGATGAAGCAGCCGAAACACCTCTCTGCCATTGTGGGAGGCTCCATCAAAATCCCTTTCAGCTTCTTCCATTCCTGGAAGTTGGCCCGTAATCCTGAGGTGAAGCTGTTTTGGAGATGGAGGAGCTTCCACGGGGAGTTCATCTACAACATGACCCCACCTTTCATCCATGAGCATTTCAAGGACCGGCTGGTCCTGAACTTCACAGAGAATGGGAACTCGGGCTTTCTGTCTATTTCCAACCTTCGGAAGGAGGACGAGACCATGTACTTCTGCCGCGTTCATCTGAAGACAAAGAAAAATGGTGAGCAGCGGTGGCAGTCCATCGAAGGGACCAACCTCACCATCACTGAAGGTGAGCCCCTTCCTCAGCTCCACACCCCCTCAGTCCTCACACTTCAAATCTTCTCCCTTTCCTCTTCCTGACCTCTGACCTCTTCTCAGGGCCCTGCCAATATCATTCTTTGATTCCTCTTGACAATAACATCCCCAAACCAGCACTGCTTCCCCTCCCCTTTGCCTCTCAAAGAGAAAAGCATTAACTACTGTGAACTTAGGCTACTTCTTTAGTATATTACAGTTTTTTTAAAAAAGAAAATAAATCATTATTGCCCTAGGATTTACTTTTTATCATGATGTGTGTGTGTGAATACACACACACACCCATACCCATACATATTGCGGGGGGGGGGGGGTCCTGGGGCTTGAACTCAGGGCCTGGGCACTGTCCCTGAGCCTCTCTGTGCTCAAGGCTAGCACTACCACTTGAGCTACAGTGCCACTTCCAACCTTTCCTGTGTATGTGGTACTGAGGAATCAAACTCAGGGCTTCATGCATGCTAGGCAATCACTCTGCCACGAGGCCACATTCCCAGCCAATCAATTTTTATTTTCTAAACAGAATGTTGTTATGAATTTTATCTTTAACTAATTTAAAAATCTTCTAGATCTCCAAATGCTGTCACGGTACTCAGCAGACATGATGTGCAAAATGAACTATACAACTTGTGAGTGGGCACAGGAAGGGGAAACAGGGAAAGTGAGGGAAGGGGTGACACTGTCCAAAAGGAACTGTACTCAGAACTACCTTATGAAATGGCAGCCCCTTAATAGAACCTTAATCATAACAATAAAATGAGATTAAAAACATTTTAGTTCTCAATTGAGAGATTTATGCTGTTATTAATTAATTTCTTCTTTTGTAGTGTTTCATTTTCTTCCTAATTAATTTTTAAGTATGAATATTTATGGGTACAGAATAGTAGTTTTGACACAGGTAATTCTTTATGAATATCATTTTCTTTTTCCTTTTTGTACTAGTCTTATGGCTTAAATTCAGGGCCTATGCCTTAGCTTTTTTGCTCAAGGTTGGTGTTCTACCACTTAGAGCCACAACCCCACTTTTGGCTTTTTGCTGGTTAACTGAAAATAAGAGCCTCAGAGTTTCCTTCCCGGGTTGCCTCCAAACTATGATCCTCAGATCTAAGCCTCCTAGGGAGCTAGGATGACAGGCATGAGCCACCAGCATTCAGTTTTTTAAATAATTAATTCCTCATAAGCATGGACACAAGTTTAATGGGTACACATAGTTTCTTTCCATTTAGGATAATGAGAAAATTCTAGAATTTGGCAGAGAGTAATGGCTGTACAGTAACATGAATGTACTCAGTTCCACTGAAATTCACCCTGGCAGATGATTAAATGGTATATTTTATGTTCATAGATTTTATGGCAAAAATGATGCTCTATTCCTGTGATTTATTTCTGAGTAGTGAAGTGACTTCTTATTCACTATTGAGAAATGGTACATAGCCGGGCGCCGGTGACTCCCGCCTGTAATCTGAGCTACTCAGGAGGCTGAGATCTGAGGTTCAAAGCCAGCCCGGGCAGGAAAGTCCCTGAG